TTCCTACAGGCAAAGACCATGAGACTGTTGTGAGTGGTAAGCCTGCAAGATGGGATGATCGTCATTATTGTTTAATTGGTGGGTTCAACAAAGCAGCATTGTGAGCCGGGCGTTGGTGTGCACGCCTTCAATCCCAGCAATGGGGAGGCAGAGGCAGGTGGACCTCTGTGAGTTCGAGGCCAGCCTGGGCTACAGAGCTACACAGAGAAACCTTGTCTCGAAAAACCAAAAGAAAAAAAAGAAGAAGAAGAAGAAGAAGAAGAAGAAGAAGAAGAAGAAGAAGGAAGAAGAAGGCCAGAAAAAGAAAAAGGGAAGCAGCATTGCACAGAGGGAGTCAATCAGCTCAGCTGTGGGTAATCCTTTCTTCATGCTCCTGACCCCAGTGTTGACTGTTGAGGTCTGTGACCTGGACAGGACACTTGGCTTTGAAAGTCACCACCGTCTGTATCTATGAAAGCAATGCCCAGCACTGCACTGTGGGCACCATGAAGATTAAGTGCAGCAGTTTGAGAGGATGGCAAGCTGTTGGTGCAAAGTAGGTGAGAATGGCTGATGACTGTCACACAGGAAGCTACCACCTGCTTTGTAAAATAAGCATGCACATTGGATCTAGCCATTCTGGAGCTTCTGCCGGCTGGATTTCTCAGGTTCAGAGACCCCTTACGTGTAAAGCTGGAAGAAGTGTGTTTGGGGAAGCCAGAGTGGCTGCCTTGTAATGGGGACTCGCTGCATTTATTGTCATGTACTGCCAGCCAAGGATCAGTTCTCCCAACCATTTGTTTTGTATGGACTGGGAGCCAACTCTTAACCCTTAACTCTTCTGTAATTTGCCTGAGGCTAGGGAGTAGTAAAGATGAAATCAGCGAGGAGAGGGGTTAGGGCATTCCTGGAAGTAGCAGCTCAAATTCCGGGGACTCTTAGGAAGAACACCACAGTAGCTAGCTAGCGCTTCGTTTTCTTACCAGTGGGATGGATGAGGGGGGCAGTTCTATTTTTGTATTTCCAGGCAAGGTTCCGTAGGGAAGCTTAATCTACATCCATCTTAACCTCAGCAGACACTTCATACGTCAGCAGAAGTTGTCATGCCAACCGCTGTCCTTCCTGAATCACCTTCCCGCTGATAGTAGGCTCTGCCTCATTATCAATTAAAAGCTCCCAGACCCATCTGCAGCTTTTCCTGGGACCTGTCTTTGAACCATAAAAGACCCCGCAGGACACTGCACCCTTCCCCCGCCCCTGGGCCTCTGTGTCTTGGTGGACCCGAAGAGTGATCTGGCTGCTCCTCTGTCACATGCTCTGTGTAGAAGTGTCTGTGGTCCGGTTATAATCCCTTATCAAATAAGACTTGGAAAACTGGCCACGAGGCCCACCCACACCACCTCTGGCCCTGAGAGCTCTGATGGTGCTGTGGTCTTTGGCCCTGTGACTTGCTGGGGTGCTGGGCATGGGGAGCGGTAGTTGTGGGGCAGGAGTGCTGGGCCTCTCAGTGCCTGACCCACACCCACCTCCTGGTCTGGAAGGAGGAGGCGTGGACCTAGCTGGTCCCAGAGAGCTGACTTTCCCCCACCTCTCTCGCTCCCTGGGCCTGGCCCTGTTCCTACCCCTCCACAACCAACAGGGCTTTGTTTCTCTTCGCCATTGCGGCTCACTAATGCATGGGAGGGGAAAATTAGAGCTTTTGGACCGGCACTCCAACGGAGCAGAGTGGCTTGATGAGCCCAAACCTCCTTTAGAGACATTGCAGCCAGTGTTCAGCTTAAGTCCTGTGTGCTCTGGGAGGGCCAGGGATGGATTTACTGCAGTTCTGGGTTCAATTCACAGTGTTTACATATTCCAGAGCCTGAAGAAAAATGGGGCCAGAGAACCAAGATCAACCCCCGGCCCCCTTTCGGTGTGTGTATGCCTCCACTAAATTATCTCTTTACATCTATATAAAATACACAAGGCCCTTAGTTTCATCGCTGGCACCACAGAAAACAAACAACAAAAAGAAACATCTAACGACTGAAATAGGCCATTAAAGTAATTTAAAAATGCAAGCCATTAAACCTAGACATCTTTTATATATACGTCACAAAAAAAAATTTTTTTTCAAAAACAGAACTTTGAAAAAACTGGATTATTCTGGAGGCTTGGTACAGATCATCACCCAAGTGGATTAAATGTTCAAAGCCTGGGTTTACATTTACATTCAGAATCCGGCCAGAGGCAACAGGTCCTTGCCAAGAACCCTTCCTTATCTGCTGTGAAAAGACTATCTTTGGTGTGCTGGGGGCCAGAGCAGGCTTCTGCTGATTAAAATTCAGTTTTATAGGACGGAGATTAAGTCACCAGCAGTTTTGTGTATTTGTTTATTTCTTTGTATAGCAAATAGCTCAAACAGGCAGTGTCTGGAAATAAAGGAATTCTAGAAATCAAGGCTTTAGTTGCTCCCCACCCACGTAGACCATTGATTATGTTTAAATGAACTGTGTTCCTTACTGTTTTTCAAAGGAGGTGAAAAGGTGCTAACGCGTTTACTATGACAGTCACACTCTTAAAGTTGAAATGAGTGGATTTATATGTAAAATGCCTCTCGATAATTCATCAGCCACAAGGTCTCAAACAGAATGCCAGGACTTATTAGTGATTTTAAAATTTGGGGACACGCCTAACAGAATTAAAATAAATGATAAAACTGTGCTTAACACTTGGGAGGGGGAAAAAAAAACACAACACTTCAGAGAATATACATTGTATACCTTCATTCTCAATTATGGTCCTGTTTTAGAAACTTATAGAAGTAGGAAACAAATGTTCACCCAAGAGACAGATTGTTTCTGTGTCATGCATGGCCTTGGCACCAACAACTGAAACAAAGCAGAGACCAAAGAAGTACCTCACTTGATGGAGTGTTTGCATCACTGGAACACTGGAAGCCATGCATAAATTGGGGCATGGTGCCGTACACCTGTTAGCCCAGCCCTTGGGAGGTGGGGTCAGGAGGATCAAAGGCTTCAAGGCATCCCCAGTTATCTTGAGTTAGAAGCTGAGCCACATGAAACTTTGTGTCAGACAAGAATTAAAAAAAAATCCAAATAAAAATGTCTTTTTGTTTTGTCTGTCTTGTGCACAGAGAAAGTTGATACCCACACTACAGTTTCTTCAACTGAAGTTTACTTGCTCTTGAAACCAAACTCTAACATTCAAGCAAATGTCCAGGTCTTCTGAAGTTGAGCAGTCTGGACACAAATGCATCACTTTCTTTGGACCCTGGGGACTAAGTACCAGGTGTCTATTCTTTGGCCAGGGAGGGAAGCCTGTGGTTCACCTGCAGTGGCTTCATTGTGTCCTGAGATCTGCATCAGCTCCAGGCACAGACATACAGCCAGGTTCCTTTGTGTCCTCTGTGTATGTTCAGAGCTCTGAAGCATAGATCCTGCTTTCAGGATTTGTTTAATTAAAGAGACAGAGTTGAATATTTCCTGGGTCTGACTTCTCCTTTGGGGTCTCTTACAAAGCCTGGGGAGCTGGGCAGTAAGGCCGCAGCTGCATTGCTAGCCTCCAATCCCAGTTTGGATGCTCTCAGAGGGGCCCTTACCTCTCCCATTTTAGATTCGAAGAGTCACAAGGAGATTCTGGGACTGATGGCCTTTTAAGGAGTTTCCTTTATTGAAAACGCTAGCTGTCAAGTCTGGTTTGCCAAATGAGGGTGTAGGTCTCAGATGAGACCTTGGCTTTAAATGTAAAGAATTATTGACAGCTATTTTTAGAAATTTTATTAATTCATCATTATTATAGGCATACTGTGTGTGTGTGTGTGTGTGTGTGTGTGTGTGTGTGTGTACCTGCCTGCCACATTACTCATGAGGAGGTCGGAGGACAACTCTGTGGACTTCGATCTCTCTTTCTACCACATGGGTAGAGAGACAGTGTGTGTGTGTGTTGGGGGGGGGGAGACTCAAGTTGTCAGGCTTGTCCACAAGCACCTTTACCCTCTGAGTCAGCTGAGTGGGGTGAGAGATTTCACAGTAGAACAACACAAGAAGATACAATCTCTTCAGTGTAAACAGAGATTTGAAGCCATCTTCAGAGGAAGATGGAGCCTCTGGCAGGTGTCACAGCTTCATTTTGATGATTTGACTGATAAAGACGGGGTTTAAACCCCTTTGGTGCTCGCTTTCATCCTTTGCAAGATGTCAGTAGGTAATGAGGGATTGCAGCTACGTTTGCAGACGGCAAACCCCAGCCTCTCCCCCCTTAGGAAGCAGTGTGGGTGCAGGGCTTGGTCTCCAAGAAAGTCCCCTTCCTCTCTGAGTAGCCCCTTCTTCTTGACCAAATGTCCCGATGAGCAGAGTCATCTGGCTCCCTTCTGAAGTGTTCCGATGATCTCACCTAACCTAACCTTACCTACCCATCTAAATCAGAACTGTTGCTGCCTTGTCCCTGGACCGTGGCTGTCTAATAAAAGTCTGTGTTACCTTTACACACACAGGTAGGCAAGAGCTCACAAGTGCCGCGTCAGAAGAAAGAACCATATCAACCAGATTGTGGCACAAACTTCCTCTTTCCTTTTCTTTTGAAAGGAAAAAAAAAAAAAATCCCTTTTCCGTGCAGCATAGCCTTTCTGTTTATGGAACCAGTTGATCCACTTCACTGCCAGGAGGCAGCGCTCAGAACTCTTGAAGCCCACGTTAATAATAAACCAGCACACTATCAACGAAACCAGGCACTCCATTTCCACTCACACATCCCACTTCAGCCCCGATTGTTAAAGGATGCCCAACAGTGGGGTTTTGTCCCATTCTCTCAATCTGTTTTCACTTTTAGGAAAAAAACAAAAAACAAAAAAAACAAAAAAAAAAAAAATACATACAACGAGTCAGCCTCCCCAAAAGGACACTCCCACAAATCAATGGCCATGCAGAGGACCAGCGTCCTCTGGAGAGGGAGGGAAGAGACTGAAAAGACTCACTGGTGGGAGTAGTACCAAGTTAGACTCCCTGAAAAGACGCTCTTACCCCAAGTCCTGGAGCAGCTCTGCTCCTCCATCCGATCGCCCCCACACCTCTGAGGGATCCTGGGTACTCATGTTCCCTCCTACAAGTTCTGCTCTGCCCATTCGTTCCTCCGCTGCTGATTGTAGACTCCCCGCCGGGTGCTGTAGGGAGAGATGGGCTCCAGTGCTGGACACAGCTCCTCAGTAAGATAGGAGCCTCCTGGGACTGAGGCTCTGACAAGCTAGGAAGTGAAACTCGGTGGCTCCTCCCCTGACACTGCCACCCTAGGCCTGAGGCATAGGCAGGGAGGGCTGTTCTGTCAGTCAGGAAGTATGTGAACTCCCGCAGCACCTCGGCACCTCTGATACCCACAATGCATCACCAAGTCAGTTTTTGCCAAAGCAAACAGAATGACCACTCACCCAGGATTGAACTATTCAAACTCTTTGTATGAGGCCAAATTGTAGCTTCTCCCTGGTCCTGTTTGCCTGCAGTTTCTAGAGGAGAGTGCATATGCACACCAATCTCCTACAACAGCACAAGGAACACCAAGGAAACATCTACATCTTTTGATGGGTTAAACAATTAGAGTAAACCGGGTGGTGGTGGCAGCAGCATAAGCCTTTAACCCCAGCTCTTGGGAACAGAGGCAGGTGTATCTCTGTGAGTTCGAGGCCAGCCTGGTCTACAAAGCTACGTAGAGAAAACCTGTCCCGGGGGGGAAAAAAAATTAGAGGGGAAGGAAGGAGGGAGGAGGGAGGGAGGGAGGGAGGGAGGGAGAGAGAGAGAGAGAGAGAGAGAGAGAGAGAGAGAGAGAGAGAGAGAGAGAGAGAGAGCGCCAGGTGGTGGTGGTGGTGGTGGTGGTGGTGGTGGGTCATGCCTTTAATTCAGTACTCTGTGAGCTCGAGGCCAGCCTGGTCTACACAGTGAGTTCCAGGACAGACAGGGCTACACAGAGAAACCCGGTCTTGAAAATAAAAAATTAGAGTCAAACATCAAACCATTCCCACTGTCTCAGGATTTTTTCCCAGTATGCCCTTGAGGCTTAGGTTGGGCAACAGTTATTGTTTCTCTTAGGGAAGAAGAACTAGGGACTGAGGCTGTCACATGAATGCCCAAAGCCCTGGGTTCCATCCCCAACACCACCACATAGAATCCTGTAATACTAGCACGCAGAGGGTAGAGGCAGAAAGACCACAAGTTCAAGGCTACCCTCAGAAGCATGTTGAATTTGGAGCCAGTCCCTGTTTCCGAACAAAAACCAAAAATAACCAAACGAGCAAGGGAAAGGATTCAGTGAGAAGGCAAAAGAAAGTTACAGAATAGCAGCTGTCTTGTCAGGTACCCAATGGGTCACTTCACTGGGGTGATGGACGCTGGAGATGCAGTGGCATCTAGACTCTTATACACCTCCATTATTCCACAATGAACTAGGGTTCACTGGGGGCTATTTCATGTGGGATCATAAAGAAACTGCTAGAATGACTATCTGACCGGGCATCCTCTACAGCAGCAGTAGTCAGAGGCTGATGTTGCCTCAGGAATCTTCCTCTCATCTCTGCTTCCCAGTGGTCCCCGAGGCCCGTGCTTCCTCTGGTTGCCACCGGGAAGTTTCTCCATGCTCAGAGACAGTCTTGTGGAGAATCTGCTCTGGTAGCACACACAGAACTGAGCATGCACCGGCAGCTACAGTTCCTTTGAATGGAGACTTTTATACAGCAGGGAGGGACCGGTGTGCACTGGGCAGAGGAAGCAGGACAGCAGGACAGACAGGACGACAGATGGCCTGCCTCCCCCTTCGCGTAGCCCTTGTTCAGTGTCTGTCTTTTTCATTCATTCCCATGTCAGCGCATTCTGGGGTTCCGCCTTTCATGATTGGGGGTGGGTGGGGAGTAACGACCTAAGATGGCTCCTTTCTTTTTCTCAACCTTCCTGGCTTCCCTTTCTTACCTTGCTCCCCATCTATCTCCTTTGATAACAGCCTTCCCCCCTTGTCACTCACTTCCCCCAGGCATTCTCCCTTCCCTAGCCCTATCCTCTCATCAACCCATCTCACACTGTTTGGTACGGTCTGCCACAATTGAGAGCTGGTGTCTACAAAATGCTGGATGCACGTAGCAATATTTAACTGTTTCTCTATAACTTTACACATGCGTTCCTTTTTCACGCTGTCTGCTCAGTTTTTCCTATCTTTCTGCTCTCTCTCAACCAGAAATTTGACTAAGAGTAGTAACACTGCCACAATGTGGGTATTATGCTTTCTCCAATTACCACCAAACAAATTAGCTTACTTTTGAATTTGGTCTCACAGAAATTCTCAGTTCTTGTGGAAGTCGGCCAGATCTTTCCCCAGAATAGCCTACTTCCTGATAGATTCCCAGTTACTGCTCCAAAACCTCACAAGCTTAATCTTTTCTGCCTGGATTTCAGTAGGCATTCTTGTGTTCTGAACTCCAGCAGAAAGTCCCATTGTAAGCTAACAACAGTCTATATCTTCTTTACCCTCCTTTCCAGTCATTTCCGCATTCTCTCAGAAAAAAAAACCAAACATTCCCAGAGATCTTTAAAGAGCCACATGCTCAGCTTTACTCATAATTATTGCTCTCATTTTCAATACCGATTTTCCTTATTTGGTGCAATGCTATTCGCTGTGACCAAATGCCAGCCATTTGGGAAGGAGGGAAGGAGTATGTAACGTGGCTCACAGTTTGAGAGGATACAGTTAATGATGGCGGAGAAGGCAGGCAGCAGGTAGGTCCACAGAGGTGGGGGCATGCATTGGGGCCCCTCACTGCCTCACATCTGGTAGAACAGGAATCAGAGAGATCAAGGGTGATTTTAAGCAGACATAGTTTTGCTGGCTTCCTTAGTCCATCAGTCACACCTGTGTATGTCTAAATCACAACTCGAGAAGAGACTCTACAATCTTATGCAACATAAATGGTCTAAGTAGGCTAAGAGCAGGAAGCTTGTAGGTGGAGTTTTCCTGTCCCCAATGCCTGCCCCAAATAATTATGAAGAGGCTTAATACAAATTATAAATGCTCAGCCAATTGCCAGGCTTAATACTGACGAGCTCTTACAACCTAACCCGTTCCCATTAATCCACATGCTTCCCCAAGGCTCATGGCTTTTATCTCTATCCCATTTTCTGTGTCCAATTTATTCTCTATCTGGCTGATGACTTTTCTGACTCTGCCCTTCCTCATCCCATCATTCTCCTAACTTTATCCTGTTCAACTATTGGACAGTAGACTTGTTTATTAAACCATCATAGTGACATCTAGTCACACAGTGTACAGAAGGATCTTTCCACAGCAGAAGTTGGAGGAGGTTGAAGAACTGTGTCTACAGTTGCCCTATTATTGTGTCTGGGAGACTCTGTTTCTCTGTAGTTATCTAACTTGTCTGGTTCTTCTGCTCTTATCCCATCTTCCCACCCCAGCCTTGGGAAGAGGTACTAAGATACAGAGGTCCCATTTAGAGCTGAATTTTCTTCAATCACTTATTCTCTCCATTTAGAGCAGCTGTGGGTCTCAAAGTCAACCACCATCACTGCTACTAGAAGCTTCTCACTGTAGCTGTACATGTAAATTCACATGTAAATTCACGGTGGTTGCGGCAGCCTGCACAATGTGTACAAACACAAGCAGACCCAAGTCCCAACATGGAGAGGGAAGGTGAGCACAAAGTCCCTCTCTAGACAAGGAGCTCATGGGAACCGACAGCTTCTAGGACAGGAAGTATCAGTTTTCTTCAACAGTGTGGCCCCTGGTAAACCGATAAGGTTCCAAAGGAAGACCACACATTCATCTATATATGGACACACAAATTGGACTTGATGGGCTAAAGAAAAAAGAGGATACAGAGTAGGGGGAGTCTGGGAGGACTTAGGAGAGCAATAAATATTATGAGAGCATAGTGTATGAAAATTTCAAAGAACTAATGTTTTTAAAGAGCTATGACTCCATATTGCTGTAATATTCACAATAGTGAAGTCATGAGGCCAAAATAGGTATCCCACAACAGAGGGATGGAGAGGGAAAATATATTTTGCATATACAATAGAATTAGTTTTCAGCCACAGGAAGAATGTAATTACATGATTTATGGGAGAATGGAGGCAGACTATGCAGCTGGAGGCAACTCTGTGAAGCGAATTCAGTCAATCTCAGAAAGACAAATATATCGTTTCTCTTCTGTGTAGTCTCTGCGTCTCATATAGTCACATAAATTATGTCAATGTATTCTACATGAAAGGAGATAAAAACTGGTACCGGGGAAACAAAGGGGTTAGTGGGAGTGGGGAGAGGCGGGTGAGGGAAAGTGGAGAAAATTGCAGGCTTAAATATGCTCAACATAGAGTATATACTCATGGCAAATTTTCAAATAATACCATTTTACATACATACACATACATACATACATATATACATAATACATACACTATGCCTCCAAACTTTGCTCAGCTCCAGCATAGCACAGATGTTTTGTTGTTGTTGTAATGTTTTTTTTTTTTGAGATAGAGTTTCTCTGTCCTGGAACTAGCTCTGTAGACCAGGCTGGCCTCAAACTCACGGAGATCCACCTGCCTCTGTGTCCCGAGTGTTGGTACTAAAGGCATGGGCCACCAACTCCCGGCTTACAACACAGGTATTTTTGAGAGGATGTCTTGAGTTATTATCACCTTGGTTCATTGCCATGGCAGATTATAATTAATATCAGCTTCATTTTAATCCTGCAAAGGAGTGTTAATATGCTCATGTCTCCCTCTCCTTGTGTTTAGAATGGGTTTCCCCTACACCGTGGGGCCAACTCTTTCTCATTTGTCAAGTGCACGCACAAGTGTTGCCTTTTCTTATAACTCCCACCCTGCAGATTTGAATGGGTTTTCTAGCTCTACTCTCTACTGAATGGATTATGTGAATTTCCTGGTGGCTATACTTCCCTTCTGGTGAAATATACCTTGTATATCTCTGTCACAATAGTTTGCTACTATGCTGAGATGAAACACACTTTCTTTTCTCTTGATCTATTGGTTAGACAGAGAAAATATTGAGGGCAAAGTTCGTTTCTTGTGACTTTTAAAGAACAAATACGCTCCTTCACATCCATGCACAATATAGGCTTTGTGTCGATGCTGAGGACCTTCTGTATTTGGTGTTTAATCTCCTATTACAGGAGAACCGCTTCACTTTGGACAGCAGCGTTCCCACAGTATTCCAGCAATCAGGAGGCCCACGTGGTCCCA